ATAATAATAATAATAATAATAATAATAATAATAATAATAAGATCTGATTATTTTTTAAATAGATAAATAATGTTTCAAATAGATAATATATGTATTTAAATTATTAAATGATAGAAATAAATTATTTTTGAGTTGTGTAATTATAAAATTTACTGCAAACATAATTAATAGTATTAATGATCGGAGATTGCAATAAAAATATTCAATCATCCGCGGATAAGATTTTTTTCATTAACATCATTATTCCTGAAAATATTTTATCCAATAATGGATGGACGTAATTTACAGAGACATGTAATATGGATTCACATTGCGCGTATTATCCATGCTGTTTATTACCGAGCTTTCAGTATTCTATCGTTAATTAACATTCTTAAAGAAGACCAGCGAGACACATTAACGCTAAAAGGGGTTATTATTAACGTAACAGCTCGGTACTTCGTTTTCCACCGACCTCATTGTTCCCGCGAATACCGGTGGCTCTTCAGACAGGTAATTTCGGTAATTAGTGCTCTGCCTTCATAACTTTTGTTGTGCTTTCATGATTTCCGCACCGTTTTAATCCTTTTAACGGATAATCCACTACCTTCAATTCCTATTTCAGTGGAATTTTCTTCGCTAAATGCGATAAGAACGATTTTTAGAGGGACCAAATGTGATTCTTAACGGCAAACAGAAAGGCGAAGAAATGGTATGATCGTTTGTCACACGTGGCGTACATTGGATGGCCGAGAAACGTGTCGATACATTCCACGTAAAATTACTGACGCGCCCGATCTTTCATCCGCGAAATTCGTTCGACGATATCTCAGCACAGTGAATTTCCTCTAGCTGGAAGTTCTCGTTTCATGTCTGAAACCGAAATATATGGTGGTCTGTTTCTACTTACGCTCGGCGATAAATTTCGCCTGGCTAATTAAGAAGAATTACCCTGTGGAACTATCAAAAAAACCGCATAGCGTGGCTGTAAAATATTACACGCAGTTATAAAAATTACAAATGCGTATACCATTACCTAAGTAATTAACAGCAATTAACAAAAAATTACGAATTTTTAAACGTTTACGAAGAAGAAAAAGAATAATTTATTATATTTCTCTTCTCGTCTCGTTAATTAACATCATAAATTATAACAGCTTGATTCTTGACTTATTTCATATTAGTAGATTTATACATCTCTTCTCTAGGTGATCTCTAGCCATCTTTTATTTCTTATACCATTTTCAGAGCAATCTGTACACGTGCATAAATGCGTTGTACTTTGGCGGCAAGTCGCGAGTCTTGATCTTGGCATAGGTTGTTAGCTATAAGCGAGCGTGAGTTTAGTGCCATCCATTTACCACGACGGCGACGGCAGATGGGGAAAAGCGAGTGGAAAAGAGGAGGGCTCCTGCTCGCGATAAATGTAGTTGGCTTGGCTCTGCCCGACTGCACGATCATTCTTGCCGCCCTCCGGCGCTCGAAGTCGTGGGTTTAAAACGTCATTCCGGAGAACGGTCGATTACATTTAGCTCGGCGGAGGCGGGAACCTCAGGAAGGACGGTGATACGATCTGATAATGCCCAAGACTGTTGATTTTCTGCCGGCAAGTACCTCGTGAGGCATTCGAAATGTGCAAAATGGATCACCCAACTTTCAACTTCGCAACGAATTACTGCTCCATCTAGGGTATTGACGTTAAATACACTCGGGAAGTAAACGTTAAACGAGATTTCAAATAACGAATTTTACAGCGAAGCACGCCAATCAATTGTTGTCATGTTTGAAAATTGCGGAAATTTCAGTCGACGTTGAAAGAGAATTTAACGGTACCTAATATTTCTATGACAGTTTAGAGTTTGATTTTTTATGACTATAACTTACATTACATAAATAGATGCGGATGTGGAAGAAACCAGAATTGTAGTACGTGAATTATTAATGTAATGCATCATATCTTATTATTAGAAATAGAACTCTTGCCAAACGATTTAAATTCCGCAAAAAAACTAAAAATATCTAGCGGATCTTGGCACGTTTCGAAGTGTGAACAATTCTCATAGTTGTATTATTTACTTCTGAAATCTAGAATTTTCAAATTGCGGCATGTTTATGGCGCGTGAAACTTCAGTGCTTCCGACGAGTTATGTGTCCGCCGCAACTTTTCAGGGAACCTGCGTGTAATTCTAACACGTCGAGAGCCCCAACAGATACTGTTTTCACCATGTTATTTGGCGCAAGCTGCGCTTTTATGCTACGTAACGATGCGAAAATAATTGCATAATTGTTCAAATACTTTTTTATCATATCCAAATTATCGAACTTTTTATGTTGGTAAATTTTAAGTAGTATATTAAACTTGTATATTCTTCATTAAAAATTCACAACTGAGAAATAAAATAAAATAAAATAAAAATTAATATTAAAAATCCAACTATGATTAAAAATCAAGCCAAAAGAGCTACATCACCAAAAGCAGCGTTTATAAACACGATAATCAAAGTTAGCGATTTTTGACTTGAGCGGAAATTCAAGGTCGCACGTGAAGTTCGTAAAGTTGCATGTCACGACACTGTCGCGTGACAGTCTACAGGCTACCTCGTCTTTTTTCGCTGCTATACGTACAGTGAGCAGGCATTAAAGGACGGTGAAGGATCAATCGACTGGAAGCGAGAGACCGAGGGATATAGAGAGACAAGATCGAGAGAGTCGGCGAAAAATAAAGGAGACGCTTTCTCTCTTACCGGCCTTCACCGTGATTTCACGGCCGAGCACCTTGCCGACGCTATTCGACGCCTGGCATCGATAGACGGCCGAGTGTACGTCGTGCCGGTAGCTCTCCGCGCCGAACGGTAGGAAATACATGGATCCATTCACCAGCATCTCACGGATGTTCGGTATCGGCAGAACCGGCGAGCCATCGCCCATCAGCCAGTCAATCCTCGGCGAGGGACTGCCATGGGCCGAGCAATGGATCATCGCCCCGGTGTCGTTCGAGAACTCCACGCTCGAGCGCGGCTCTGAGACCAGCACTGGCCCTTGGCTGTCCAGCACCACTCCTCGTCCTGGAAGAGAAAAGCGAAATATGTCAGTGAAAAGAGCTCCTTTGTGTAAACATAAATAAAAAGATATAAATAGAATTCTTTTTAACACTATATGCTAATTTTAATCTTATTCAAAATTTAGAATAATTTCTTTTAAGAGAATATGGAGAATACGGTAACGTAAAAAAATTAACCTCGAATTACAAACAATGCTGAGGAGACAGAGACTTTTATAAAGTGAAATATTAAAATGGTGCAAACTGTTTGTCAGATAAAATTGGAAACAAAATTTCAGTAGGATTGAAGCAAAATTGTTTCGATATACTCTCTTTCTTTCCATCCATAGAGAAAAATTTTTCAATACCTTTTCAATGCCTTTTCAAAGAACTTTAGTTTTCTGGCTTTATTTAATACAAATGGACTTTAACAATGACGGAAAAGGGCACATTTCGCAACAATCTAATATAAATGAAACCGTTCATTTTTAAATTCGAGCGGACTTTACTTCTTAGGCATTTCAATTTGGCACTTAAAGACTACACGTACATTTACTACATTGAACTTTTCAAATCTGCTATCTACTTTCAGTCGCAAAATCTTACTTTCGCGGAGGAATGCGCGTCTAAATCGTTTTCTCTCGCTACGAGAATAATCCCGCATAGTTTTCGAAACAGTGGCAGTCGCATCGCGGCGCAGCGCGCACGGAAACAATTTCCCATAAATCTCTGCCAATTTTTACGCGGCTCAGAAGACGAGAAATGTTCCACCACGAAGTCGAAATAGGATGGTTTATGCAACATTCAGAACGTATTCAGAGTAAGGAGTTTAGACTGTAAAATGCGCAAAAGGCATGCGATATTCCGCGTAGGAAATATGATGCGTAACATACGGGCATTACGGTGGAAAATGCACCGAGACGATGCTACAATTTTAAAAAGGGTACGCTCGAGGAAACCATCCATCCGAGATACAGCAATAATGTCGATTCGGTCGTTTTCCGTCTGCATCGAATATCGAATCACACATATTTGATAGGACAATCTATGCCCATCTCTGACACAAGAAATGTTACTGCATGAAGAAGATAGAATACTTAAATAAATACTTAATTCCTAAATATCTTTTAATTTCTATTTCTGCAAATATTTTTCTTTTTAGAATAATTTATTTCAAACTATTATAAAAACATAAATACACAATAATAAAAATTTAATTAAAAATAAATTACGGATAATATTTATTAAAAATTCAATTTTAATCAATATACATTTTTAATTTATAAAACTTGAAAAAAGAAATATTTAAAAAACAAACTTTCAGAATTATTTGATGTATCGACAAGCAGAAAATGAGATTGTAGCTCAATTATAAGAGACATTCTCGATTCTCTCGAGAAGCGAGATAATGTTGGTAAAATAAAATAGAAAAGAGAAAAAGGACAGTTATCCGATTTTGATATTATGTTAAAAGGCACAGGATTGCGGGTCGTAAAATCTCAAACGAAAAGATTCCTCTCTCGGGTATCGAGAATAAAAATGCCGTAGAAGAGGGATCTAACGGATTGATCGCTCCAGTTACAACTACGGATTCGAGCAAGCCGTCTTTTCATCGGCAATAAAACGTATATCGCGTTCGACGATGTGCACCCACCACGTGTCCTCTTTCACTTCCAGCTTCGGTTTCCTGCCCTGTTGAATGAGCGAGATATTCGGTTGGAAGATAACATAACGAGGTTATTAACTCGCTTGTGACCCGATTTCTCGCACGTCATCAACAAGTCCAAAAGCGTATTAAATGATCGAAATTAGATGTTATTTAAATTTCACACATTAAATAAGAGATTATTATTAGAGATTATTAGAGATTAAATAAGAGAATATTCATGCTGATGGAAAAATGTAACACCTAGATTCTTCTACGAATATTTTATCGTTCAGAGAATAATTGATATCGTGACGTTAATAATAAGACAGATAATGATTGATTTTATTAGATTTGTAAAGCAATGCGTGCAATTAACTATTCTTATCTTTTAAATATCTATTGATAGATTATAGAAATGTTGTAAAATTAAAGTTATTTCTGTAATAATTACAATAATTAATTAATAAAAAAAGATCATAACACAAAACAAAGTTAGCTTATAGGTCTATTCTAAGTAAAATTATAAAACTCGTAATGTGTTCTCATAAAATTTGTAAGAATTTATGACTAGTATTCTAAGTTTATGCCTATATATCGTAAGACATACGGTTATTCGTAAATATCTATCTATGATTTCTAGTAAATTTTATGTTAATAAGAAGTTGTCTGTAAAAATATTATATAAAAGTATAAGCACTTAAAAATTCTTACAAGTCTTATAGGAATATGTTACGAGCCTGTTACGATTCTGCTTAAAATTTAGGCATTAATTTGATTTTAAATCTCAATAAAAACATCTTATGTCCGAGTATCATATCGATTATATGCAACCTTGTCATATAAATATACGCGGAGAAGAAAATTCAAATTATTGCTCAATTCGATACTGATCTGCCATCCTTCTATCATCAGTAAAATGCGTGTAACATATATATAACAACTGACTATATTTTCCTATTCCTCTCTTCTTCATCTCCGCTCATTCTCGGCGAAGGAAATCTGATAGAGGATCTCCGCCGCAGCTGATGCTAGCTTTGTCCCCGGAACTCCAGAACCTTGTTTTTTGGCAATCGACGAGGACTCCATTTGAGCATAGGAGAGGGAGATCAAACGAGATAGAGACCTAGAGAGAGATAAAAGAGAGGAGAAAGAGAAAGAGAGCGCAAGAAGTCTACCTGCGTAGATCGGTGCATTATGCATGAACGGTAGTTTGATAACCTGGACGTCGTTTTGCCTAGAGAACGTTGGGCGAGAACATCGCGATACATGGCGCTCAGCATCCCGATACAGTATGCCACGTATACGCGTACATGCATACACGCACCTATACAGACGAAACTGAACGACGTTATGCACGATGCTTCCTGCGTTCTATAAAACCGATGCACCTGCGCCACCCCGGTTTATAGCTATGCACCGGCACATCGTCTCTGTACCGCGTTTATGCACGCGCCATATCTCTCCCTCTCTCTCTCTCTTATTCTTACACACATACACGTGCATACTCTTCCTCTCTTCACTCTCTCCTCGGTTACAACCCTTGTCTTTCGCATTTCTGCAATGATACCGAACACTCGTCTCTCCGATGCGAATGACTTTCTACTATTCATAGCGAACGACAGTCGCGGAAAACTCGGTGTCCTGCTGTGGTCGAAGCTAACGAACTTTCGCTTCGTTAGCGGAGAATTTGCGTGGAAATCGCTACTCACGTACAGTGATAACTCGACTCTCTACTGAAAACACGAAAACTATTTCACACCTGGAGATCACAGTTTCAAGAAATTATTTGCACGGAGTATACATATAAGTTCCTATATAAGTTATATTACATGTCAGAGGTAGAAGTTTTTTGCACATCTTCCATTTCGCTTGATGAAATTCTAATTAATTACGAATGAGAAACAGTTACAATTTTTAAGATGAGTAATTATAAATTTAAAAAAAAAAAATTTAATTGCTATACACTATTATCTTCTTATGGTTTTATGTTAAAATAAAATTAATAATAATAATAGTAATAATTAATACAATAAAGAGAGTATTCTGAATTATGTAAAAAAATGATACAAAATTATTAAAAAAAAGTGTTAGTATTCATTTTTCGTGCTCAGAAAGGTACTGTATCTTATATCATATGTATGCATGTTATGTGAAACAGTTTGGAAGAACACCCCGAGAAAGCGCATACTTCCTTCTGCTAGCAAACATCAAAGAACTGCCGCGAGCACGGAAATATGATATAATCCGACTGACGTAATGTTTGCGCAACTAAATATCCGGAGTACAAATGTTTTTCTTCCATTGTCCTCGGTGACATTTTTGTAAGCGGCGATGGCACCGCCACAGAGCAATGCCAGAGTGTTTGCCAAGTTTAACGTCTCTATTCCGTTTCCGGTCACCTGAAACGTACATCGTACATTCGAGTACGCCATTCCGAGTTTGTATTAACCATCTTGAAGGGTGTTTCGTTTCACGCATGGTGTTATACACATAATGTTTTTTTTGCACGTCTTCACTTAATGAAATTGTAATTAATTACGAATGAGAAACAGTTACAATTTTTAAGATGTGTAATTATAAATTTTTAAAAAGAAATTTAATTACTACACACTATTATATTCTTATGGTTTTATGTTAAAAATTAATATCATTTGATTTTTAATATTCGGCAAACAATAATGATAAAATGACATATCATGCGTAAAATGGAAAATATTTTTGATCTCTCAATGTTACGCGTCTGAAAGGCACGTAATACATTCGACATGAATAAGTACGGTATATTGTACACCATTTGCATGTCTCGCGCCTCTAATTGTGCGACAAAGAAGGAACGCGATTCATTCGATCATAATGAATTCCGTTTCCGTTCTGAAAATTGCGATCGGCTCGGAGCACGAGACGTGTTCTCCGACACGAATAAAAATCCAATTAAGCCGGCGAATTAAACCGTGACATCTGCGACTATCTGTAATCGTCCGATTGCGCTTCTCTTTCTATGTGTATCTTGGAATCGATCCTATATAAATCCACAAATTACTTTATCGAGTACAGATGCAGTATCAGTTGGATGTATCTCCTTATATTATATAATTCTTTGCAATTCTATGACGAGTGAGACTCAATACAATACATTGCGATAGCCTATCGCATAATTCTTCATACATAAATCTATACGCAATAATCGGCAAACCTATATTTTTGGGATCTTAATAAATTCAGTAAGTAATAAAAATATTTTAATAGATCATCTTCACACATAAATCTATACGCAATAGTCGGCAAACCTATATTTTTGGGATCTTAATAAATTCAATAAGTAATAAAATACTTTAATAGATCATCTTTTGATAAAAAAGTGACACAACTAAAAAATTGAAATTTT